CGCTGCGTGACCTGAGCTCATTGCTGGGTGGACAGGGCTCAGACAACAAGTTTAATGATATTCAGAGAAAATGTGAAACAGCAAAAGAGAAAATACGTGTTAGGGTCACTCAGAAACAAGAAGCATTTACCAAGGATGGAACTGAAGCTATTAAAAACCTCTCTGATTTGCTGAAATAAGGAAATCAATCTCAGAAATAGGAGCGGGAGTCAGTCATCCTCCCCAATCCCAGATCCTGCTGCACCAATCAATGTGCTGATCTTCTGCCTTTGTTCATTGACCTGTCTGTTCCACTGATTTTCTGGTGAAGGGTCTAGGCCTGAAACGTCAGCCTTCCTGCTCCTATGATGCTGCTTGGCCTGCTGTGTTCATCCAGCTCTACACCTTGTTATCTCAGATTCTCCAGCGTCGGCAGTTCCTACTATCTCTGTCACACTGAGGAGACACTTTATCTGTGGTTGTGACACCTTCTGCAAAGATGGAGACCAGAACTGCACACAGTACTCCAGGTGTGGGGGTCACAAAAGCCCTCTGTAATTGGAGCAAGACATCTGTACTCATGTACTGCAATCCCATTGCAATAAAGGCCACCATGCCTGTGCCTTCCTCATTCATCGCTGCCTCCCTGATGACATTACATTAAGAGCACACCCAGATCCCTTTCAATATGAACATTTACAACATTCACACATTTTAAACAAATTATTCTGCTTCACTGTTTTCAAAGCTCCTTCATCTGTCACATCCTTGCCTATTCACTAACTTGTACATATCTCCTTGTAGCCTCTCTGCCTTCATAACGTATAATCCCTCCTGGTTTAATAAGTACCAATTTTGCATTTGTTTTTACAAAAGAATTTACATTTATATAGTGCCTTTCAAAACTACAAATCTTCCCAAAATACATTCCAACCAATTAAGGTGTATGTATGAAGCTTTCAGACCAGGGGAATTTCAAAGAATGCGAGGTGATGTCCTTGAAATGTTTCCAGGCCTGAGGAGTTCTTGACAGGGTAGATGCTGGAAAGATGTTTCCTATCCTGAAGGAGTATAGAAATTGGGGAACTGATTAACAAGAAGGGCCTCTGATTTGGGACAGAGGTGAGGAGGAATTTCTTCTCTGATGGTTTTTTGGAATTCTTCACTCCAGAGAGCAGTACATCCTGGGTCACTGAATTGATTCAAGGCTGAGTTAAGACAGATTTTGGATCGAGAAACAAAACAAATGGCAAGGGGGAGAGACAGGACACAGAAGACAAATCCAAAATCAGATCAAACATGATCTTAGGAAATCATGAAGTAAGCTCAAAGGACCAAGTGGTCTACTCCGACTCCTATCTCTTAAGATGTCGTGAATTCAGAAGCAAATTAAAATGCTGTGATTTTAAAACCTACCTAAATGGGCAGACTTTTTACCATCTCATTGAAAGTTGGTATCTGCAACAGTGCAGCACTCCTTCAGCACTGACCCTCTGACAATGCGGTCCACCCTCAGCACTGACCCTCTGACAATGCGGTCCACCCTCAGCACTGACCCTCCGACAGTGCAGCGCTCCCTCAGCACTGACTCTCCGACAGTGCAGTACAGCCTCTTTCTCATCCAAATCATTTTATATGTATTACAAACAACAGAGGTCCCAGCACTGATCCCTTTGGAATAACACAGGTCACAGACCTCCAGTCAGAAAAACATCCCTCCACAGCTACCCTCTGTCTTCTATGGCCAAGCTAGTTTTGTATCCAACTTACCAGCTGACCGTGGATCCCATGTGACTTAATCTTCTCGATCATTCTCCCATGAGGAGGATACCTGGATGGTTCATTTTAAAGAAGTCAATAAAAGGGCAGAGGAACATTTTTTTTTATTATGGCATTTCTTGGAAATCACATGGTTCCAGGTAATTGTTGGTGCTGGTTACTCTGAATTGCCTTCAGCGAAGATAGCTTTTTTTTTGAAACAGGGCTTTATGCCTGTTCTATTTGAATAATGTTCTACTGTCTCGGATTTTCAGTTGGGGAAAGTGCTGGAAGAAAGGAGCTGCTCAGCTTGAGCCTTCTGTATCAGTAGCAGTTTTGTGGTGGATCCCATGGGTTACCTGATTACCTACTGAGCCTGCACAGGAAACAGAATCAAGGATTTTTATCAATGACCTTTCAGGAGGCAAAGGTCCCAGAGACATATGCTCATCTTGGAGACACCTACCTACGTGCGCCAGGACCCCAAGTCAGCTCCCACTCTGTGCTGCCCACAAGGCTGCGTACTCAGCCCCTTATTGTACTCATTATATCCCTCACAACTGTGTGGCCAAATTCAGCTTGAACTCCATTTGCAAGTTTGCTGATGACACCATCATAGTGGGTCGGATTTCAAACAATGACAGGACAGAATACAGGAAAGAGATTGAGTGTTTAGTGGCATGGTGTAAAGATAATAATCTCTCCCTCAATGTCAGCAAAACAAAGTAGCTGGACATCAACTTCAGGAAGCAGAGTGGAGGGTCAGACGGCCCCGTCTGTATCAATGGTGCTGTGGTGCAGGCGGTCAAGAGCTTCAAGTTCCTAGGAGCAACTATCAGTAATGATATGTCTTTGTTCATCCACGTCAATGCTATGGTCAAGAAAACACACCAACACCTCTACTTCCTCAGGAGGCTAAGGAAATTCTGCATGTCAATGAGGACTCTCACCAATTTTTGTAGATGCACCATAGAAAGCATTCTGTCCAGATGCATACAGCTTGGTTTGGCAACTGCTCTGCTCAGGAGTGTAAGAAATTACAGAGAGTCATGAATACAGCCCAGTCCATCATGGAAACCAGCCTTCCTTCCATTGACTCGGTCTGTACTACCCGCTGGCTCAGGAAAGCAGCCAACGTCATCAAAGACCCCTCGCCCCCACCCTGGTTATACTCTTCCCCACCCCCTTTCATCGGGCAGAGGATACAAAAGTTTGAAAACACGTACCAACAGATTCAAGAATAGCTTCTTCCCTGCTATTATCAGCCTTATGAATGGACATCTCCTATATTAGAGTTGATCTTTCTCTGTAGCTGTAACACTATAATCTGCATCCTGTTACCCTGATGTACTTATGTAAAGTATGATTTGTCTGGATGGCACGTAATACAGTGCTAGTCACTGGATCTCTTGTACATGTCACAATAATGAATCAAATCAAAAAAACCTGAACATCTCAAACTTTTTTTGCCTTTGAGAGCTAAAGTTTATTGGTCAAAGTGTATCTTCTCAAAATGAATCTTTCCTGTGAGAAATTCATTTTTGCCCCTTTTCATGCTGTGAATCGATGTCTGTTTGTGTGGATGCTCTTGAGTTTATTTCAAGAAAACATTTGTATTTTCATCCAATAAACTGTATGTTAACCAATTCTGCATCTTCATGGAATAAATTTTGAATGAACAAACATTCATGCGTTTTTAAAGAAATCTGTTTGGGAGATCTTTCAAATTATAAGATGAATACAGAGAAAGCACATACTTGCCTTTTGCAAAGGTGTTTAGAGGAGGAGTGGGTCCAATTAGGGACACCAAAGGAGATTTACACGAGGATGAGGGAACAGGGCATGGCTGAGGTGTTAAATTAATACTTTGCAACAGTCTTCCCAAAAGAGGAGGATGCTGCCCAGGCCATGGTGATACAGGGGGGATCTCTGTCACCAGAAGTGTCTCCTTTGAGCCATTTGTGAGCGAACATTACACCGATACCCTATGGAGACACATTGGATGTCAGCACCACATCTTGCTTGGGATCGTAGTGGGCCAACACCTTAGACAATGATAGGTGCTTTTTCATTTCCCTAAATGCTAGGTCTTGGCCATGAGGGTATTTCCAAGGCTGACTGTTTTTCAATAGCAGGTGTAAGGGAGCCAGGGTGGAGGTCAGGTTCTGTATAAACTTTCCATAATCATTCACCAGTGCAAGGAAAGACCGAAGCTCTGGTACAATGTGGCAGCCAGGGAACTTGGATCACCCTCACTTTAACTGCCAACAGGTGTAACCCGGTCTTGTTGGCTCTGTAGCACAAATATGTCACTTGGGGGGCCTGGAACACACATTTCTTCCTCCTAAGGCATATGGCTGTCTTGGAGAGCCATCTAAGAACTATTACCAAGTTCTCTAAATGCATTTTATTGGTCTTCCTTGTTATTAACATATCTTCCAGATAAATGGCGACCTGGGGTAGACCTTGTAAAATGTTCTCCATCATCCACTGAAAAATGGCACAGACTGGTGATAGCCCAAAAGACAGTCTTGTATTCTGGTACAAACCCTTACGGGTAATAATTGTTACATATTTCTTGGAATCTTTACCTGACTGCAATTGCAAGTACACGTGGCTCATGTTTGGGAAGGACAGAGCCTGTTCCCACCACCCCTGCCAGCTTTGCGTATAAATCCTCTATGCAAGGGATTGGGTATCTATCCTGCTGCGAAAAGTGATTTACCGTTTGTTTAAAATCCCCACAAAGACAAACCAACCCATCGGGCTTCACTGTCAGTACAACTGGTGTTGCCCATTCCGCAAACTGGACTGGTTTGATTATTCCTTCACTTTCTAGCCTCCTGATTTCCACCTCTACTTTTGGCACTGGGTGGGCCTTGCAGAATCCTGGAATTGCTTCCTGGTCAACATGTAAGGGGGCCTTGGCTCCTTTGATAGTCCCTCGACCTTCCTGAAAAACTGCTGGGTATTAAGTTAAGACTTCATTCAGGCAGCTATTTTCTAATCAAAAAATATTGAGCTAATCAAGGTGAATCAATCATTCTCAACCAATTCCACCCCATCAAGCTTGGGCCTGAGCCTTATAATACAATCAGTGGTAACTGAACCAGCTGCTTCTCCTAAGAGACTGGAAATGAAGTTGTACCCTTAACCTGTAAAGGCTGCCTGGTATAGGTTCTCAGTCTAGCTGAGGTTTTACACAAATGTAAGGGTTGGAGTCCAGAGCGAATTTTGTAAAGACTGGTTCTGTAATCACTGATACAGCCACAACCAATATCGACCTCCATTAGAACCGGGTGACCATTTAATCAGACGTTTATTTTTATTGGTTCTGATTTGGATGTTGCTGAGCAATTTATCTGTTCCAAACCAGATGTAGGTGGACTTCCCAGGGCGTGCACTCTCCTGGATACCGGCCTTTGAGTTCTCTTACTCAATTTAGGTCTAGTTAGACTCCATTACCGTCTCAAGTCCACATTCCAGCAGCTACTACAATGGCTTGCTGGCCTGGATTCCGAAGTTTTAACCATTTGACCGAGGCTTGGCTTTGTTTTGGGGTTTTGCTGTGAGCTGGCCTCAAGTCCCTCTGTTCAGGATATGTCCTGAGTGAGGCTATGCAATTGCTTTCACTTGATTGATGTTCCCCAAGCTCAGTCAGCTTGGTGAGAGTGTCCACTTCCACCGGAATACCCTGTAGCTCAGATGCTCCACTTGCTGCATTTTCTATCAATGAAGCTAGTTGTGGTGCCTGTTGAAGTCCAGTTGGGCTTCAGCTAGTAGCCGCTTTTGCATGGTTATATCATCAATCCCCCACATACCAACCCAGTCTCTCAGCATCTCATTAAAAGGGTTAAACCAAAGTCACATGCCTCTGCCAGTCATCTTAATCTAGTTAAAAATCCTGACACTGGTTTCACTGGTTCTTGAACTGCAGAGTGAAATTGATAGTGTCTCAGAATTAGAGGTGGCTTGGACTCTAATATGCTTAACTAAATCCGTCAACTCTCAAAAATCTTTAATATCTGGGACCTCAGGAAACGTTAGTATCCTAATAACTGAAAAAGCTGCAGGTCCACAAGTTGTCAGGAGAATTACTCGTTTCTTTTCATTTGTCCCAATGTCATTTGCCCAGAAGACATTAAAAACCATACCTCTCCATTTCTGCTCCTGTATGGTAGAAAGTACACATTGTAACACTGCATTTTTAGTGGAGGAATTTTGCTCTCTCTTCCACACACTGGAGTAAGTCTTCAATGGCAGAATCAAACAAGCCCAGCTTCCCAAATAACAGCATGATACCAGAAATGTTTATGCCAACTCAAAGACGACTGTTGTGAGCAAATTTCTTCAGGAGCCTATTTTTGTCTCTCGTCACCACTGAAATAACTTCACAAAAGCCAGTCTCCCAGAATCAGGTCACCTTTTATTTACACATAGATAGTACTTAATATTGGTCTGGCTTCATCAGAGCCAGCTCTCAGAGTGAACAGGATGTCTGACCCTCTTGTTTGCATCTGTCAGGCAGTGTTCCCTAATTGGACCGGGTTAAGTGCCCCAAATCAGGGAACTCATATTCTATAAGGTTGACTTGGCTGGCTCGTTACAATCACTACAACCTAGATAGATTGGATATGCAGAAGATGTCTCCACTAGTAAGAGGTACTAGGACCCGAGGGCACAGCATGAAGGGCCAACAATTTAGAACTGAAATGAGGAATCTTTTTAGCCAGAGTGTAGTGAATCCATGGGACTCACAGCTTGCCCCTAGTTGCCCGTTGAGAAGGTGGGGGTGAGCTGCCT